GTTCATGATTGTTGATCTTCAGCAGCAGTTGGCCAAATGGGAGACGTCGGAAACAAATCGGGTACCGTCGGTGAGAAGGCCTGTGAAGGAGTCGAAGGTGCAGTTCACGGTATGAACTTATTATTTTTGATGATATCATTAATTATTATTGTTGCTTATTCATTGTAACTATTGTTGGTTTTTATTGTGTAATTTTCATGTGAATTTAAAAATTGAAGGAGACGGATGTGTTTTTGAGTGCGTGTTTGAGTGGGGACATAGAAGAAGTTCAGATGTTATTAGATAATGGTGCGGATATTGATACACGTACTGTGGATGGATTGACTGCTTTACATCAGGTTGGGATTATTAATATTATTATTATTAATTTTATTATTATTATTATTAATATTACTGTTATAATCATTATTATTATTGTTATTGTTATTATTATTATTATTATTATTATTATTATTATTATTATTATTATTATTATTATTATTATTATTATTACTATTATTATTATTATTATTATGCATTATTACTATTATTATTACTTTTAATATGTTTATTATTGCAGTTGCTATTATTTCTATTGTTGATATAAGGCCACCATTATTATTACTGTTATGATCATTATTATTATTGTTATTATTATTATTATTACCGTTATGATCATTGTTATTATTATTATTATTATTATTATTATTATTATTATTACCGTTATGATCATTATTATTATTGTTATTGTTATGATTATTAATATTATTATTGTTATTATTATTTTCACATTGTTGCTGTAATGAATGATTGTAGGCTGTAATTGATGGTAAGCCAGAAATGGTACAGTTTCTTTGTGAGCATGGTGCTAATTTGGACGCGCAAGATAATGAAGGTTTGATATTAAATTTGTTTGATAGAAATTTGATTTTTATTTGAATTGTTTTTTTTTTTTGATAGAAGTGTATTGGTAGTAAATTGAGAATACTTTTTTAGAAGGTTAAGCAATTTTTTGAGATTGTGCAATAAACAAAATTTAACAATGTGTACTTTTTTGGTGGGATTCTTATTTTGAAGTGATATAAAA